CCCCTGACGCCCTGGCCCGGGTCCCGCGGGCCGCCTTAGCTGCGGGTCTGGAGGAGCGCTGGGTCGCAGGCATGGAGCGCCCCGCGGTCCGAACCCCCGTCCGCAGGTCGCTTCCCCGGGCGCGGAGGCGGTGGCCTCCAGCGCGTCACCAATTTGACAGCCGGGCGCCAAATCAGAGATAGGTGCTGAGCTTCTGGGGATTAGAACTCGCCGCTCTTAGCTCCTCCCCCCGCCGCATTTAAAACTCCCATGGACTTTATGGAAAAGTAAGCGTGGGCTGTGTCTTCAGCGCCTTCTTCCACTGCAAAATGGTGAGTAAGGAGCTGGTGAGACCAGAGAGCTCTGAGCCAGTGATCTTGGCTTTTAGAATTTCTCCCACCCAGAATTTCTCTGCTACCTTCTCATTAAACCAGGTCATTTCTTCCCCTTTCCACCACTCTGTAATCTCCCCTATTATCTCTAGCTTTCTCTGGTCCAATCTCTCTTTCTGTTTCTCTTCCCTCTGTGATTTCTTCTCTCCTAACTCATCTACAGTTCACTCTACATCTCCATCTGCATTCATTTTTGATTCCATCTCTTCCTCTCGATTATACACATGTTGGCAAACACTTGGACTTGAACCAGTCTTAGGGTACTTGGAGGTTTGTTTGCTTCCCAGGTGCCAATTGCATAATAGCTCAGCTCGGATTCTAATAGTTCAGGGAAGGAGCCTGCAAACATGCTTTTGGATGAAAAGAAAATAGCACTTTGGTACAATTTTTGACTGAATTTCTTTCATCTAAATCATCCAAATTAGACTGATTTCAGAACTGGCCCTTTTTCAAAACTGAACTTGCTGGGAACATTAACAACGTGTGATTTAATTGACTTAACTTTTTCCTTCTCCTTATTTGTTTTCTCTGTGCTTATGTTATGCCCAAGTAAGTCCTCAAGTCAACAAAAGGCAATAATCAAAAGTGAACAAAAGAGCTGAGCGCTCCTTCAAATGAATGGCCTTTTACCTGATTAAACATTGGCAAATAATTAGAAGTGGATTGTTGTACAAATTAACCCAGGAAGGCTGCAAACCTTGCTATTTGGAAAGACTGTGTTTCAAGTTTGAAGCGTGGGGTGGAGGAGGGTGAGTAGAAGGGTGTTCACTGGAAGAGAACACAGCTGAGGATACATGCCAGGCAGTTAGTGGTGGCAAGATAACTTTGAAAAGGCTTTGAGACCTAAGGATGGAGAGAACTAGAGCCTACTGTCTTTGTTCGCTAACGTATTTCAACTCTGATTTGTTTCTGTTGACTGACTTTATGCTACTGTACTAGGAATTAGGGTTTGAGTCAGAAACAACATACATTTAATTCCACCTGGAACAGATACATACATATACACATATATGTGTGCATGATGTCTTGTGTGTGTGTGTGTGTGTGTGTGAACAAGCTTCTCATTCAGAAACTATAATAATAGCAGTGGAATATCTATCGTTACATCCTATTCATTTCAATTTTACCATCTTAGCCTCTTTGCCTTTCAAGGTGATTAGAAATAGAATTAAAATATTTTATAGAGAGAAACAAATAGTTTTTAATGCCTTAGATGCATTAAGTAAAATTCCTTTTACCTCAATTCTGGGTAGCATGTTAGACGACTCAAACATTGCAACAGGGATTACTCCTGGAAATTACACTTTTGGTCCAGCTAATCCTACCTTGGGTAAAGCAAATAGCTGATTTCCTTTTAGGAATTAATTAAATCGTGGACCTATATTGTGTCTGACTCACTGCATCTAATTTCTGCATCTTTCTCTCATCCACTCCACCTCCAAATCCCTATCACCCTCTCCTGAAACCCCTTCTTGCCCCTTGTTCTGAATTCACAGAACACCATTCTGCCTTGCCAAGACCAGTACTTTGTAGGAGGCCAAAGCTATAATTGTCCGTATTCCACTACAACGTCAGAATCTACTGTTGATGTTTCCAGGGAGACTTGGGTCTCTTTCTGGGCTGCCGGTCTCCTGGACAACAAAGAGCCTCAACAAGCACCAGAGGCACAGGGTAAGTTCTGCTCTTCTGCTTTCCTGGTGGAGTTGGGGACTTTTTCTAGCATCCAAGGTGGCGGAGCATCATAGTCTACAACTCTGGAGAGGATGGTGTGGGAGGTGAAAGCAAGCCCAGACCCTCACATTTTACAGCCTATAAGATTCTGCTGCTCCACACTTGTTACATAGTGAAAATGGGAGGCTTTTTCTAGCCTGTTGGACCACGTGTACTTGTCTCTACATTATAGAGTTCCTGGAACCAAGGGATTTCTAGCCTACTGAGAGAGTTTGAGTCTGAGTCAAAGTTTTATAAATAACTGTCTCGTGCAATGCTCTTAGAGGCAAGATACCAGTCAAACCAATTCTGTTGAAATCACATACACCAGAGAAAACATTGCCCAAAGATATGATCCTAAATGGCTTATAAAAGTTTACTTCTTTCTCTTTTCTCTTCATACCATTTTAACAAAAACATTTTATTAATAATTTAAATAATGGAGGACAAGAATCAGGCGTGTAGCAGATGCAGAAAAGAAAGTTAAAGTGAACCACTCTAGCATGCCCTCAGAAACTTTATTGACAGATACAGATACATTTACTGTCAAATATAAAGTAGTGGGGGTATCTCTCTGAAGAAGCTCAGAGACATGCCTATAGATTCATTTGAAACAGATGTGGTTTGGGTACAATATTGAGACAGTTTTTCAAATCTTCAAGGAAGCAAATACCATATCATTTTAGAGTAAACACAACTACTACATAGAAGTATGAATAAGTACTTTCTATCATTTTTAACTGGAGGTACACAGGCAGGGATTTTAATCTGGAGAAACTATAGCAAGATAAAATAGGATTGCATCCTATAGCCCAAACCTATTTTATCGATTGTTAAGGTCAAGAAAATAAGAGAAAAACTAGAATATGGAATGGAATTGCAATACTCTGCCTAGTGGGGGGAAGAGTCAATGCATATTTGAATAAACTAATATTACGGATGAGACAGTCTTAAAAAATTTAGTCAGTAAGTGCAAGGATGTGATTTCTATGCTCCTAAAAGCTTCATGTTCATCACTATGACATATCATCTATAAATATTAGTCTTTCCCAGTTTGGTTGCCTCTTCTAAGGCTTTAATTTTTTTATTTGTTGAGATTATGCTATTCCTTAGAAAGTAAATTAAGCCAATCAAACTTCATGAGATTGTATGGTGGGTCTTCTCTTTCTGCACATGCAAACACGTGTTTCCTCAGCTATCCATTTGTTATTTTCACATAGAACCGTTCAGTGACTCGAATTTACCTGCTCTGGACTCAGGCTCCTGGAAGGAGGACCAGCTGTCCTCTCAGCTCTACAGAAATAAGCAGGTACGTGTAGGTAATCAGAGTATTGAGACTGGCCATGTTTCATACAGCACATTTTCTACCAAATCTTAACCAACTATCACATTCCTTCTTTTTCTTTTTAAAATTCACATGTGGTAGAATTTCAGTTTAAAACCAAGGTGGGCGTATGTCCACAGAATGATCAAACTTAGTGGATTAGGATCAAAGAAGAAGAAGAAAGAAACAAGACAAAACACATTACAAAGACCAGCAGTCAAGCTGCAACTAATACACAATTTACCTAGATGGCTTCTTGGATTCTACTTTTCCTCTTCTATGTATTTGGAATATTTGTGCTGCATCCTTCAGGGGCTGTTGGAAAGACCAAATGCTATACTGAGTGTGATATTTTTAACCACTGTGGAAGGGATGATGATTAGAAAAGCTATCGGATTATTTAATTTTATACTTTAGGTTATTCCTGAGAAATAAATATAATCTAGTGACTAGGCAAACAGGCTGAGGAGAGCCAATCCATCCCTCTCTTTTAATGCTCCAGGAAGGAATCAAGTATACACCCTTTGCAAAATGTCCTTTTCTATATTTAAACAGTTGCATGCGGCTCATTTTCCAACATACCTCCCCATTCACTTGTGGTTACAATTTTAAAAGTTCTATACTTTCTTCAAATAGTTTTCAAAGAATTAAAAGAATCGCAGCAGAAAACTGAACAATCAGGTGGCAGGGTGTGTGGATTCAATTTAGGCCTCCAGGGCGAGGGTTATCTGAGGTTGTGTTCATAAAACAAACAGAATAACCAAGTTTAAGCTGGTTGAGGAGCAATGACATTATTATAGGGTTACAAAGTCAATATAGTGGAGTCCCCTTCACTATTGTCTGCTTTTTACAGCTTCAAGATACTCTGGTACAGAAGGAAGAAGAACTTGCTAGGCTACACGAAGAAAATAATCACCTGCGACAATACCTGAATTCAGCTTTAGTGAAATGCCTTGAGGAAAAGGCCAAGGTGTGCAACTATCCCCTTCACCACAACGGAGCCGTGAGTAAAGACAGGCGAGACTTGGGTAAAACAGAAACATGTTTGATAAATAATGTAGTTGAAACACATGTATACAATCAATATTTCTCAAGAAAATTTCTAAGAACTTTTGTTTATGATTTCCCTGAGCTATCTAGATTGCATATATTAACCATCGTACATTACAAGATGAATGGAATAAGAGTTTAATGTCAGGCAAAAGACTGCTATTTGAATGGAACACAAGAGTGGGAAGCAAAGATAATCTTTTAATCACCTTTGTCTTTGGGTTAGTCGCTCTCTTCCTGAAGACCTCTGTTACTTTCGTCTACAAATGGATGGGCTAGAGCCCTGCCAAGAGCCTCCTCCACTCTATAATAGCATGAATAATGTTAGAACCCAGCTTTTTTGCTGTCAATTCAAACCTAAACCCAAACGCACTGTCATTGAATGGATTCTGACGCATGGTAACCTTATAGGACAGAGTAGAACTGCCCTCCCACCCCCTCCTAGAGTTTCAGAAACTGTAAGTCTTTATGGGATTAGTGAGCCTCATCTTTCTCCCTTAGAGCAACTGATGGTTTTGAACTGCTGATCTTGCAGTTAGCTTGCAAAAATGTACCCCATTACGCCTCCAGGGCTTTTTGCTGTTAATTAGCAAAAAGGTATATCAAATTAAGTTAGATCTACCAAATTACATTATCTTTCAATTCACTGAATATTAAGCACTCAGTTACTAACCCAGAGGTTGGTGATTGAAACCCAACCAGAGGAATCACAGAAGAAAGGGTTAGCAGTCGTCCCAAAGAGTCACAGTCTGGAAATCTCCTCAGAGTCCACTTCTACTCTGTCCTACATGTGGTTGCTATATGCCCTAGTTGATTCAGTGGATCTGGCCTGTTTTATTGTGGTTCTTAATTCACATTTCCCCCCTATACTTCAAAATTCAGATTTACTCTTTGTAGTTTGAGGATAGGCCATTTACCCCCAGGTAAATTCTGCTCTTCTTCCTTTTATTGATTAATGTGACTTGTATTATTTATTTTCAATGCCAAGCAGGAAGAGAAACCCCAACAAATAGAAGTCAGTTAACAACCTTTGCTTTACTTCTAAAGCTACATTATGTGAAATTATTTTGTTAATTTAAATTGGTGAGACTTCTTAATGGTTTTACAAGACAATAGCAGTTTAGAGAAGAAAAGACACTCAGATTCTTTTACAACACAATTAGTTGTACTGAAAAGGGAGCCCATATCATGACTACTAGTCTAGACTCCTAGCTCCAGTCACTATTCCATGAAAAATACAGTTTTTACATTAAGGATTTAGTTGTATTTAATCAGGTTTTTTCCTTGCTTGGTCTCCATTTTACAAGATTTACAATAATAAAATATAAATGCCATGTATACACTAACGAACTAAGAGGAAGCAGCAACGCATAGGGTTGATATCAGGTGTTCTCTCTAGTCCAGATATCTTAGGTTAAATTTACCCATGTGATCTTCGGCAAGTCGCTATTATACCCGTGTCTCAATTTCCTTATAATGGAGATTTTAATATAATTTTGTAGGGTCATTATTAATGGGAATTTATTTGATGGCAGTGAGTTTCAGGTTTTGGATACAAAATGAAATAATATATGTACCCAATGATCAATGAATGTTCCTTGCTATTGTGCCTTTTAAAATACAAAAACTTACTTCCCTGAATTGTGGTCTTAAAGACACCTTTTATTCCTTTAAAAAAAACAAGAAACATCTGAATTTAGTGTATCTAGGTAGTAATTTCTCATCATAGTTTTACTTTAGAAATAGAAAGAGTGTAACTAATAAGTTTTACATATATCTATATCTGTACATATATGCACACACATATGCATTTACATATGTGTGTGTATCTGTGTGGTCAATGAGAAAAAGAAGACATGAAATCCACTTTTCTAAGGAATTTAAGTGACTAATAAATTATTTTCAGAGTCCCTGGGTGGCACAAGTAGTTAAGTATTCCACCAATGACTAAATGGTTACAAGTTTGAACCCACCCACAGACTCTTCTAAAGAAAGGTCTGCTTTGCAAAGGTTGAAAATCCTGTGGGAACTAATTCTACTCTGTAACATGTAATTCGGGATCCACTGGATGGCTGATGGTGACAGCAAATGTATTTAGGACAACATGGAATAAAATGATCTTAGTGGATTTTCTGACTATGTGTTTCAATATTAATTCCCCAGAAATTATTGTCATCAGATGAGTTCTCCAAAGCATGTGGGAAATTCAGAAATGGGAAGAGGAAACCCAAAGAGCAGAGATGCTGTTCTCTTGAGATTCCCTATTCCAAAAATGCCAAGAGAAACCTCTCTAGTGAACATGCTACTCGCGAAGAACAACCTGGTCCCCCTGTAGACCCCTGGGTCCTTCAAACACTTGGGTTGAAAGACCTCAATACCATTGATGACACCTTACCAGCTAACTACAGTGCCCTCTCTTTACCTACCGCAAGCATCTCTAGCACATTTCCTCCATTTCCAGATGATGCTGTTGGTTATGAAGACGCTCCCAGGGAGGATCTACTGATTGAGTGTGGAGGTGACAGATCAACCCCTGTACAGAGAACTGACAGCCCAGGGGAAGAGTTTGACTTCCTTTCTCAACTTTCAAATCCTCCGGAAGGACTACGAACCCTGCCTTACTCTACTGCGCATGTCTCGCCTAACAAGACGGTAATGGCCTTCTCCACTTCGCTGAGCCCTCACTGTAATGTGAAAACACATTCCTTCCACCAGGGACAAGCTTTTGTGCGTAGAGATGACGACGGAGGCTGGAAGTTTACCTGGGTCCCTAAGCAGTCTTAGTGACTCCTCTTCTACTACAAAGCGCTCCCTTGAACTCTGTTTACAGCCTTCTCTTCCACTTGAACTTAACTGTATAAAACACAGAAACAATTGCCCAAGCTGCCTCCTGACACTTTAAAATCCGATCTCAATTTACCCAATTCAATCTACAAGGAATGGCTTCCAAAAATCCATAATGAAATATGTGGCTGCTTTTCTTTCACCTGAATTTGACGTGTTTACACACCATGACCTGCTGTTGACTTCTTCCCTTTGGTTGATACTTAAAGGGGTATTTTCTAATTGCCTATGTATTTCTTTGAAACCTGGGTATGTTCTTCCAGGCATAACTAGTGTAGCAGGTTTTCTTGTGTTGTCAACAGAGATGAAATGTTTAAGGCCTTCGCCCTCTCATGTCTCCTTTCCTCTGCTCCTTCCATTTCTGAAACTCCTGTGTTAGGATGATCTTGTTTATTAAGATTTCTAGTATCTGGAGGTGGGCTAAGACAAGCAGGCACAATGTGGGTGTGAATAATCTTATGTGCAGGGCAGTTCAGAAAGTAGAATATTCCATGGTGCAGTTGCAGAATACTCCCTCAAAGGCATTGTAATTCTACTGATTTCCCACAGATAAAGAAGAGAGGATTACCGTCTATCTAAAATTGCCATGGGTGTGTTAGTGACTATGGTAATCTGGCATTGTCTTTCATGCACCATGACTCAAACACAAACATTTTTAAGGGATTTATAGCAAAACAAGTTAACATCCTACCCTACCAACAGCTGACAAATTCCAGTCCCTGAAAGCATCGTCTAGGTGAGCTTCACCACTTTCTCACTGTTTCCTTCACTCATGCATTCATTTCTTAAGTTCTTTTATCCACTCAACGTATTTGTAGAATGCCTTCTATGTTTCGGACACTGTACTAAAATGTGAATGAGTTAGACGTCCCATTCTTGGGGACATAGAGCCTAGCACATCTGTTGTGGCCTTCAGAAAACTCTGCTGTGAAAATTCAGGGTTTTTTTAACTGAAGAATATAGAGTTTGGAATAGTGAATTGCTAATGTTCTCAGAATGGAGAGTAAGTCCCAACATCTTTTCTTCAACACTGCCATTCAAGGTCATCATTCATTTAGTTTTAATACCCTGGGTGAAATTTATATACTTACAATTTAAAAAGACTAAATGTGAAACTTTTTCAGTCAAAACTAGAGATCATTATTTTGATCACTGTACTCTTTTCATCTGGTATCAACTCATGTTTCAGGTTTATTCAGACAGTGTGAGAATAACTTGCACCTAAAAACATAGCCATTTAGTTTCCACTAGTTGTGCCTAGAGTGAAAGCAATTGTCCTAAAAGATTTCATATATGTACTTAGTGGTCAGGCTTGTACTTTGTTCCCATTCCCCAAACTCTTGTCCTCCTAGAATAATTCAAGACACCTCCCTATATTTATTGGATCAAATTTCAAATGCACCTTGTTGAACTCTCTCCATTTGTATTACCTTTCAATAAGCCAGTAATTTACCGTATAGTCTGAAAATGTGAGTGTGCCATTTAGAATTATTTGTAACAAAGACAAGTCTTTGTTGTTGGTGGTTGGGTTTTGTTTTACTTTGGTGATTTGAACCGAGAATTTATTTTATAAAGTTTTATCAGCACCCTTTTCTAATAATTCATGAAGGAGTATGCAAACTAGTAATGTTACCCTATGGGTCAGTTTCATGATGTAGAAATAAATGGAAAACACTATATATATATATGTAAAGTGCCTTTTATATTCCAGTATCTATGCTCCTGATGGGTAAAACATATATCTTTTAAAATTATACATTGAAAAATAAGAATCTGTTTAAATTAAATCAAGAAATTAAATTAAATTAAATTAGGAAGCAAGAAAGCAACCACTATTTTGAACATCTAAGTGATCTTATTATAAAATAAAGATAATCTATATATAAAAGGTCTTTTTGCATTTTAGATGCTGTACATGCTTTACGTACCTGAAAGCAACACGCAGCTTTAGCACAATACATTTTGTACATAAAGCAAAGCCACGTCAAATGTCACAGCTTTTAATAACTCTTAAATAATACTTGGATTCAGTGTTGGTTTAAAGAAATTGCAGATTATTATAGTGAAATCTGAAAACTGGATCTGGCTTATTGCCCAAATAGTAATGTGGAAAAAATGATCATATATACTTATAACTCTATCTAGAGGCATTTGGCATTCATATGAATTATGATTGTGAGGATGGTGCAGGACAGGACAGTGTTTTTGTTGTACATTGCCTCACTGTAAGTCAAAATTAATTTGATGGCACCAGACAACAATGTGAACCATGTATGAGAAATCCTTTTGTTGATATTTCAGATGTTGGAAATTTCTCACCATGAATATGTTCTCATTTTTATGATATTACCATACAACTCCAGTAAATCATGGTTAATATTTTACTATGATAAAATGGAACATACTAAGTACTTTGAGAGTATGATGAATATTTCTATTGTGCATATCATTTTCTGCTGTGTTTTAACCATAACCTTGTCTATTTGCACCTCTTTTGCATTGTGTATATGGCCATACTAATAACTTCAACTTTAAGGTTTAATCATTATTTCATTTTCCCACGACCCATTAATGGATCTTTCAGATGTCAAATGGCTGAAAAAGTCAAGTGCTTTCTGGGGCCAGCACCCTCTTTTCTAAGCACATTTAAAAGTGAAAATTCTAGACCAATTTTAAACTTACACGGCATTTCCAAAGTTCTTGGGCCAGCTGAAGATATACTACATGTATTTCTTGCGAGTATTTGGAATTGAAGGGCAAAGGTAAAGTCTCCCATGTGCAGGAAATATGTCCAGAGTGGAATTATTTAAGATAGCAGTGAGGGTGAAACAACAATTTTGAAAAGTTTGAAGAAAATAAGCAATGGAAATGAGTAGAGATAATTGTTATCTTTACTCTAATTCAAGAAAATTGAAATAAGAAATGAAATGTTTGATATCAGCTCCTCTTTATTCCCTACCTCCCCTCCCCAACACCCTTGTGAGCCCTTAATAAACTAGATATTATTATTTTTTTACAAAGAAATTAACTGTAAAAAATGGACTCAATAATTGCTATGTCATAGGGGCAGAGGAAAGTAGAAAGTTAACACACCCAGTGCTAATTTCTTTTCTAAGTATTACTTTCTGCCTGTAAATTTGAAATTCAAAAGTATACACGTATTTACTGAAAGACTCACCTAAGGTATTATTAGATGAACTTTTTTTTTTCTGTGTTTCTCACAAACCAAATAGATTTTTTTCACAAGCCACAGTTGCATATTGTAAGTATATATCTTAACATATTTTTCTCATTTTTTAAAACTACCCGTTTTCAATTATGAAGTGTCTTATGTTGTATATTCTACAAATGTAAAATATAATTTAGCACTTAATATTTTATATGGTTATGATTTTTGTGATTTAAAATATTTCTAATTATAATTAAGAGTCAATTTTGCAATTAATTTATGGTTAATAAATAAATGGCAAAATAACTTATTTAATCCTACTTTTTTGCCTTCTTTTGCAGATATTCAGATAGTAGTCACCACTTATAAGTATGACAGGAATCATGATTGGACACATGCTGTGGGCTTGAAGAATAAGTAATATTTCAGCAGACAATATAATTTTATGACATCATATTTCTGTCCGAAGTTCCTAACAAATTAATAGAATCTTGATTTCAGTTACACCATAAGAAATACAAAAAGTTTGAGGGGTCCACCTATATATGAACGTTTTGTACAGGCTTTTCCTGAGGCTACTACATAGGTCATATATTACTAAAGAGAAGATTAATATCAAGAGAAAATCATTTTAACTTGCATATCAGGCCAATATCCCCTTTATCCTTGAGTATCTCCTGTTAGCATTCATGTGTAATCTAAATTCAGTTTTGTTCAGTTTCCTTACAAGAAAATTTAGATTGTTTTTTCTTAAAGAAATCTACACCTATATTTCATTCACTCAAATATCCCTTGCATATATTTGCATATACTCAGCATATACCATTGAAAAAGACTCATCAAAATTTGGTATATATCTGGGTTACAATTTCACTAATGAGAACTTTGACTCTAAAGATTAAATGAATCAGTCACAAGCATTTCTTAATCCCATCACTGGTAATAAACACTGGACCCAAGAAACCTACTTCACCTTTTGTCATTGAAGAAATTTGGGATGAGGAGATTAAGGAGGAAAGAGCAGACTACATGATCAAAAAGGTTCCTGTGGGGTATGGGGAGGGAGGGGACTAAGGGGAGCTGCTATCAAAGAGTACAAGAAGGAACAAAATGTTTTGAAACCATAGTAGCAATTGTACAATTTTACTTGATGTGATTGAACTATGGAAAGGTATTATACCTATAAATGGTATGTGATATCAATAAAATGATTTAGGGGGGGAGAGGAAATGTTTCAACATAAAAGAATACAAACATGCTTCTTAAAAATTGTCCAGGTGAATTAAAAATGTACTCTCTTGGTTAGTACAGCTAAAATAAAGACCTAGAATCATAGCTTATAAATCATGTTCCTTAAAGTTTTTCTTTTCTCCCTTATAAAATGAACAAATTGTCTTGAGTCCATTTTAAGTGACTGTGTGTCCAGAGTCCAACTGTCCCAAGGGTTTACAAGATGATGACATTTTTCAGTGGATCCCACTGGAGTGACTTCAGTTTCCAGTTAAGAGAGTAGTTAGGGAACATGCCACAGGGGTTCTTCCACGTCTCTAGCAGTATCATAAAGCTGGGGTTTTTTTGTTTTGTTTTTTTATGAACTTGAATGTTGTCCACCCACCCACCCCTCCACACTATTCTAACCAGGACCTTCTACAGTGTCTCTGGTAAGAATAACCTGTAGTGGTAGCCTTGTACCACCTACATCTTTTCCTTTGCTTTGAGTAACCATGAATATTCCACCAATACCATTATATTCTCCTAACCCCTCATTTCTCCATTTAGTTTGTTCTTTGCTTGTTTTGTTATTTTATTTTGGTAAATATATGGGTAATACTTTTTTGTCATTTCAATATTTTTATGCACATTGGCATTGTGTTCACCATGTAGTACAGCCATCCTTCTTATCCATTTTCAAATTGTCTCATTATCAAAAGCCAAAGCCCCTTATGTTGTGACTCCTCCTTATTCTCACTCTGGTCACTACTGATAGACATTGTATGCATTTGCCTACTCTGGGTATTCTATATAGTGGTATCACACAATATTTGTCCCTCGTGATTAAGTTGACTTTGCTCAGCACAACATTTTCAAGTTCATCCATGTTGTAACAGGAATCAGGAATTAACTTCTTTTTATGGCAAGGTAATCTAAGTAA